CGGCTGCCTCTCAGCCTCTCAGCCTCCCATGGGGCACCCACGGGCCCAAGGCAGCGGCAGCTCCCCTCGCGGCCGCCGGGACGGCCGGGGCGCCCGAGGCGAGGGCCCCGGGATCCGCCGCCGCCCCCTCAGAGGCCCTAGATTAACATTTTAAACAAATGACCTTCCATTCCACAGTCTTAGTGGCCTAACCCAACCAGTGAAGATATGAATAGAACGAAAAGACTGATCCTCCCCCAGGTAAGAGAGAACTGTTCAGCTGATAGCCTTCAAACTGGACCATCAGTTCTTGGGCCTTTGAATTTAAACATCAGCTCTCCCTGAACCTCTAGTATCACCAATCCAACCTGCAGATTTGGACTTGTCAGCTGTTTCAGCTCCGTGGAGTGAACTCCTTTAAAAGATGGGGAGCAGAGAACACAGGTGTTGAGGACAGCTTTGAGTCTGGTTCCTTGTCTGACAGTTAGGAAATATGAGATCTGGGCAAGTCACTTTCCATCAGATGTATAAACAGTTAAAATAATCTTTATCTTGCATGATCTTTGTGAGCATTAAAATGTACAAAGGAAAGAATGTCTGGGAAAGGCTATCAGCTATACCTGGGTCTTGCTCTCGCTGGCTGGCAGCTGACACCCTGGCAACCACTTCCTGAGCTGGGGTAGGAGTGTTTTTGTACCAGAGGCATCTGATCATGCAGGGCTGTGTCTTGGCTGCTGGCACAGAGATACACGGCTGAGTCCGTCAGCTCCAAGGGGGTCAAGCTCAGCTCAGAGCGAGCATCACTGAACTGTTTTGCTGAGAATCGATCCCAGAGCTGTGCTTCTCCCCACACTTTCTGGTTGTAATACTGAACGAGTAACTGGGGGCCCTGGCCCAGGGCCTGTTGGTACCAGTACATAGAGAGATGTCCAGATTCAGGGGAACATCTCAGAGTCGCTTGCTGCTTTCTTGATTTGATCAGGTACTTGGGGGTCTGGGTGGCTCCAGAATCCACCAGGCCTGTTGGGGAGGAGACAAGGAAGCTGAGGGCAGAGCACAGGGAAGCCTCCTGCTGCAGCCCTCATCGCCGGGCTTCTATCTCAGGGAGGCAAAGCATCTCAGAAGCTCCCGCGCTGTGTCCAGGACTCACCTGCTCCCAGGAGGCAGAGAGTCACACAGCAGAGGAGCCTGGCACCCATGGCAGCATCAGGAACCCAAGACTGCTGTTGGCAGGGGGCGGGGCTCCTGGGCTGAGTGGTGTAAGTGCTGACTCTCCCACTTCCCTGATTGGAGCATTGCCTATGAGGTCACTGCTCTGTATCTCTGCAGGCTGCCCTTGTCCCCTGGACCCCTTGGGAGGACCTGGGGCTGCCTCCTCTTTGCCCTTCCCTGTCTTGCACAGCCCCTTGGCAAAGGGTGGGTGTGAGGTGAGCACTGCCCCCATATGCCCATAACATGGCTTTCTCTTCTCCTCCTGTCCCTGCCTGACACTCCTCACCCAGCCCTCACCAGCCACACTAATCCATCACCCACCGCTCCCCACGCTGCTCCAGGAGATGACCCCCTGGGCACATCCTGAGGATCCAGGCAGGTCCCCAGTCCCCTGGGCAGTGAGGAGTCTGGGCTGGGTCCATGTGTCCTGGACCACTCAGGGAACTCAAACCTGTTTTCTGATGCAGGCATGTAGCCAAGGTTCCCCTAAGCTGCCCTCCCCAGGGTGACTCTCAACCCCTCCCAGCACATCCTGCTTACCATGGACCCACAGTGCCTCCTAGTGGCCAAGGGTCCACAGTGGCACAGATCTGTGCCTTCTGTCTAAATCAAGGATGGAAATTCAGATTCTTCATGGCTTTGGTAGTGACCGCCTGTCTATGCAGGTGTGAGCCCGGCCCGCGCCTTCCCCAGGAGACCAGAGCCAGCCCCTGCTCCTTGGTGCCCATGTGTGACTGGAAGACCGTGATCAAGAATGCCGGTGTGTCGGAGGAGATGCAACAGGACTCGGCGGGGTGTGCTACTCAGGCACTGGAGAAGTATAATACAGAGAGGGACATCGCAGCCCACATCCAGGAGTTTGACAAGAAGGACAACCCCACCCGGCACTGCATCGTGCTGAGGAACTTCAGTCGTTGCATGACACACGAAACCAAAACCATCTGCTTCTACCCGGGCCAAGTGGCCAGTCTCCTGTTCAAATCCCTGTAAAAGCATGCACTGTGCCACACACCCAATGATCCACCCAAAAACCTGGACTGCAGCCTAAACTCCAAATACCAGAGACTGAAGTCCTCAGCCCTGCCTAAGGGAACACCTCCATCTTTGAACCTTTATTGGGTTTTGTACAGGGCATTCTCTGTACTGGTTTGTTGTGGCTATAAAGCAAGCAAATAAATATAAATGTAAGCAAAATAGCTTACATTTGTATTTATTTTCTATTCCATACCTCTCTGCTGCATGTTTTTTTTTTTTCTCTTCAAAATCCATTCCTTTAGAGAAGTCTGTTGGAGAAGGGTGCATTAATTACCATTTGTTCAAATAATCTAGAGTTGAAGATGGCCTCTTTAGTTGATCTTGGGTAGGCTGGTGGGGGTGATTCCTTGAAGTTTCTGCGGGATGTAACAGACTAGCCTATTCAGCACTCTGGCGTTGCATTCTTGCCCATCCTGCTCCTGTTGTGCGTGGAAGAATACTACTCAGAAGTGCATGTTGAGAGAGGCATGGCAGAGAAACTACTGGGCTGTTACTCCTAATCGGATAAGTACATTCCTTAAGTGCTCCTTTTGTGATAACAGCTATAGAGTGTTCTGGGCCTTAGGCCTCAAGAGATGATGAATGTGTCCTGGAACTCCTTTAAGCTTTCTACGGCTGAAAAACGGAAATAAGCTGGTGAGAAAGTTGGGCTAATGAGAAATCTGTTGGGCTCTAGACATTTCCCCTCCCCTGCCTTGGCCAGAGTGTGCTCTAAAGATCAAAGGTGGTCTTAAAGGGAAAAAGCCTTTGAGCAGCGGCCCTCCTTGTGATTCTAGTTAAGTCTACAGGAATTTAAACTTACAAACCGGCTGCACTGTGCTTTAACTAGCTGTGTTCACATATGAGTTGAATCTTTCATTAAAAGACAATTAAAAATAAAAAAAAGATATTCCCCACAACTCCACCTGCAACCCCTCTACACACAGACATGCACAAAGGCACACAAATACACACCCTTCATCTACTGCCTTCCCAGCCTGACAAAATTAGGGTTGATCCTCAAATCCACTCTTATCCTCTGGAGGTAAAAGACTGTATGATCTGACATTTTTACTAAGAAGGAAGTAACTATTGTACCGCTACAGTGACAGTAGTTAGCGAAGATGAAAATACATGACCATAAAATGAATACTCTGAAGATCTCAAGTGAATCCACCTGGAAGCATGTATTCCATAACTACTTCTGATTAATCAGATGCAAATATTTCCAGATTTCCGATTGAAATTAAGCATTACCAAATTCTAGGTAATGCATTTTATAAAGAGATTTTGTATATGTGGACTCATTTATTTCTGCACTTATAAAATCTTGATATAATGAGGTAATGGAGGATATATCTTGACTTTGAGAAGATTTTGATGAGGAAGGTGGGCCAACCTGGCCTAGGTTAGGTGAGATGCTGAGGAAATCGGGGCACCAGGAGGAGAACACACAAGGACAGTCTGTCCTCCTTCAATGGACTCACATGAAGTTTTGGATGATTGATAATTAACTGAAGCTGGCTTCTCTTTGATGACTCCAGACAGTTTGCTCAAAGCACACCACGTGGGCAGGCCACTTTAAAAACTCCCTTGTGATTTGGGAAGGGATGTGACCATAGCTCAGTTGGTAAAGAATCCGCCTGCAATGCAGGAGACCATGGTTTGATTCCTGGGTCGGGAAGATTCGCTGGAGAAGGCATAGGCTACCCACTCCAGGATTCTTGGGCTTCCCTTGCGGCTCAGCTGGTAAAGAATCTGCCTGCAATGTGGGAGATCTGGGTTCGATCCTGGATTGGGAAGATCCCCTAGAGAAGGGAATGGCTGCCCACTCCAGTGTTCTGGCTTGAAGAATTCCAGGGACTATACAGTCCATGCGGTCGCAAAGAGCCTGGACACAACTGAGCGACTTTCACTTTCACTTTCATGACCCAGATGAGGGAGGAACATTGTGGCTAGAGTAGAGAGGGCCAGGAAGCTGATGCCAGTGAGGTGGGGAGAGGAATGACTTACCCACCCAGGAAAGGTGGGTAAGAGAAGAGAGCACGTGAGAGCCAGGTTGGGGGAGAACCTTCCAGAGAGACAGCGATGAGCTGCCTGAGGTGAGACAGGAGGTCCTATTTTTATCTAACTTACCAACAACCTTTCCTCCTGGAGGTCTCAGGCTAAGGTGATGACTAGAAGTCAGAGCTGCGGAAACTCCTGGTTCACAGGAAGGATACAGAGAAAAGACAGCAGTGGATGGTGGACACATGTCCACAAGGCCTGGAGTGAGGTCTGGGCCAGCACAGACCACACACTCAGGGTCACACTGCAGGCACGTGGCAGCAAAGCCCTGAGGCTCCTGGTGCTGGGAGCCTGCACGGGGCCCCTTGTCTTTTTGCACAGAGAGCAGGTGGCCAGGAAGCGCCGTGGAGTCACTGCTGGCGCAGAAGTACACAGATGTCTGGGAGCGGTTGGCGGACTCCAGCGTGAGAGGGAAGTTCTCTGTGTTTGGTCTGGAGACGGTGTACCCGTCGGGCACGTCTCCTTGCTCCTTGGTGAAAGGGCCAGTTGAGTAATGGATCAGCCTCAGCCCGTGTCCCGGGTCTTGTCGGTACCAGTACATATAGTTATGACCCAGATCCTGAGTACATTTCAGTGTCGCGCTCTGTCCTGTCCTCAAGACCTGGAATCTGGGGTCCTGGGTGACACCAGCGTGGACCGCCCCTGTGGAGAAGGAGGACCGATGCTGCAGTCACAGTGGACATGCTTCGTGCTGACACTCGCACGGGGACCCTGCCCCCAGGACTCACCTGCCTGCAGGAGACAGAAGACCACACAGCCCAGGAGGCCGGGGCTCATGGCGGGGGTGGGGCAGGCGGAGGGCCCTCTGGTCTGAGTGTGGATGAGAGGGGAGAGGGGCTCTGCAGGGAGTCCTTCTGAGATGTCAGTGTCCCTGCCAGGACCCAGAGCCGACCTGTGACTCAGGGGGCCACGCCCCTTCCCCCAGAGGCTCAAATCAGAAGTGAACCTATGTGAAGCGTTCACTACAGGGAGACCCATCTAGCTCAATAGGCATAAGCCTCACAAGTTGTTGTAATCTGTAAACTGTTTGCAACTTTATGTATACTTTGCTCCAGAGATAATTCTTCATTAAACTTATATTCGTCTTATTTATCCACATATTCATGTAGCCTTTTTAAAGTTATTTTTAATTGGAGTATGATTGCTTTATGAAGTGTGCTGGTTTCTGCTGTACGCCAGGTGAATCAGCCATTAGTATGTGTATATCCCCTCTCTCTTGAACTCCCCTCCCTCCACCCCTGCACTTGACCCCTCTAGTCCTCGGAAAGCACAGAGCTGAGCTCCCTGTGCAGGACAGCAGCTTCCCACTAGCTCTCTACTTTACACATGTAATGTGATTTCTTAGTTTTTATTCTTGGGGAAAATTGCTTATAGCCTTTTGCTGCCCTTTACGACTCTTGCATCCCACCTATGCCTTCAAGTGTCCATTTTCCTTTGCTTAGTTGACCGCAATTGTATATATATATTTTTTCTTCCACTTGCTTCTTCTGGCATCTGGTTCCCCAACCCTGGGGCAGGCTCACCAACATTTGAGGAATCCTTTGAGTCTATTTCTTACCATTTGCTAATAGACTGGGCACCTGCTGAATGCAGCTAAGCTCCTACATGTTCACCAGAGCACATGCTGCCGTGTCTGAATGGGGGCAGCAGCACACCTGTAACCCACCTTTCTTTGAGGAGAGTAGATGGTTGCTCAGCACCGTGGATGACCTGGGAGCGCAAAGGAATACAGATGCGGGACTGGGAGGAGGTGACAGACTCGGGCAAGAGGAAACTGCTCCATTTTTATTTGAGACAGCCATTCCATGGAGGTAACTCCTTAAGTAGCATAGACGAAAGTGAAAGTGTTAGTCGCTCAGTCGTGTCTGACTCTGCAACCCCATGGACTAGATCTAGCCCACCAGGCTCCTCTGTCCCTGGGATTTTCCAAACAAGAATACTGGCGGGGATTGCCATTTCCTTCTCCAAGGGATCTTCCTGACCCAGGGATTGAACGTGGGCCTCCTGCATTGCAGGCAGACTCTTTACTATCTGAGCCACCAGGGAGTAATTAACAGATATCACAGAGCCGCAAACTACCCTGTTACACATAGCCCCCCACTTTGAAAGATCCTGTACTTGATGCAATGCTCTGCTGTTGTGATCTTCAAACACTCAACACCAGTTGAAACGTGGGTCTTGCAAATAATGCAGCTGGTCCTGGTTACATGTTTTTGGACCTGTGATGACCTCCTGATGTTCTGGTTTTCCTTGATCCCAACCACATGTCTGGGGTCTGGGTAATGCTGCATTCCTGGCACCTGGGAGAGAAAGGCATAGAAACTAAAGTCAGAAGCAGCAAAGGAGTCTGAATTTCTAACCACAGCAGCAAGACTTGAACTGGGGGTTGGCTAGCCCACGAGTGGTTCCACATCTATGCTCAGAACTTCTTTCTCCCAGAAGACAGCAGGGCACACAACACAGGAGACTCATGCCCAGGCCACGCCAAAAGAGAAAGTGGCTTTCCAGCCAGATCATACATCCATCATCCATCTCCAGACATGGATGTGGTGCTCACATGGTTTCAAGCACTTCTTTAACCATAGACTTTCCAGGAGCACCTAACTTTCTTCAATATTTAATGCTTGCCTAAAAGGGAATTGTTTTAATAGGTATAGAGCTTATATTTTCAGTAAAAAGATGCCTGAGTAAAACAAATGTCTAGCAACAGATATTATATTGTTGGTAGTCAGGGAAGGAGAGGCATGGGAAAGGGGACTGAAGAAACTTTCTGGCAATGGAAATGTTCTTTATTGTAGTAGAGTGGATGTTGTGTGGCACATGCATATATGTTGATTAAAACCACAGATCTGTCCATTGAGTGATTGAGTGAGTGAGTGAAGTCGTTCAGTCATGTCTGACTCTTTGCAACCCCATGGACTGTAGCCTACCAGGCTCCTCACTCCATGGGGTTCTCCAGGCAAGAATACTGGAGTGGGTTGCCATTTTCCTTCTCCAGGGGATCTTCCCAACCCAGGGATCGAACCCGGGTCTCCCACATTGCAGGGCAGATGCTTTAACCTGTGAGCCACCAGGGAATCCCCATTATACAGCGTGTAATGTTTATGGTATTTACAGCTGAACTTTGAACAACACAGGTTTGAACTGAGTGGGTCCATTTATGTGTGCATGTTTTAATAAATACTTACTAAGGGAAATTAAAAGACTCTTGCTCCTTAGAAGAAAAGCAGTGGCAAACCTAGACAGCATATTAAAAAGCAGAGACATCATTTTGCCAACTAAGGGCTGTCTAGTCAAAGCTATGGTTTTTCCATTATTCATGTATGGCTGTGAGAGTTGGACCATAAAGAAAGCTGAGTGCCGGAGAATTGATGCTTTTGAACTGTGGTGTTGGAGAAGACTCTTGAGAGTTGCTTGGACAGCAAGGAGATCAAACCAGTCCATCCTAAAGGAAATCAATCCTGGGTGTTCATTAGAAGGACTGATGCTGAAGCTGAAACTCCAATACTTTGGCCAGCAGATGTGAAGAACTGACTCATTGGAAAAGACCGTGATGCTGGGTAAGATTGAAGGCAGGAGGAAAAGGAGATGACAGAGGATGAGATGGTTGGATGGCATCACTGACTCCATGGACTTGAGTTTGAGCAAGCTCTGGGAATTGGTGATGGATAGGGAAGCCTGGCATGTGGCAATCCATGGGGTCTCAGAAGTCGGACACAACTGAGTGACTATACTGAACTGAAGGTACTGCCCAATTTGACTGGCTGAATCTGTAGACCTGGAATCCCACGTACAGATGGTTGAATGTGAAGTTATACACAAAGTTTTGATTACGGCGTTGTGGATGTCTCAGGGACCCTAAAGCCTACATGGGTTAGAGGTTAATTATAGGGCTTCCCAGGTGGCACAGTGGTAAAGAATCCACCTGCCATTGCAGAAGATGTGGATTTGATCCCTGGGTCAGGAAGATCTCCTGGAGAGGGAAATGGAAACCCACTGCAATATTTTGTCTGGGGAATCCCATTGACGAGGAGCCTGGCAGGCTACAGTGCCTAGAGTTGCAAAGAGTCAGATACAACTGAGCACACACATATAATTCACATTTTAAAATATCCGAGAAGGCATATATATCACACACTCTTGTTAATTTCATGTGATGAATCATCAGGCGTAAATAAATTTTTCCTGTGACTTCTGATATCCTCAACTATAGGATTTCAAGGTAACATATGTCCATTTCTACCTTTGCACCTAGGAAATGGTAGAAGAGGCTGTCAGAGTTTAGCAAAGGGAATCAAGAAGTCCAGAGTGCTGTTATGTGCCAGGGACTTCATGCTTATTAAGTACTTATACAACAGTGGAACATGGTGTAATGCTATTATAATGTGTCACCTTGACTATGCCACAGGTACTTAATTAAACATTATTCCAGGTGTTATATGAGGGTGTTGTTGGAAGAGATTAACATGTAAACAGGTAGACTTTAATATGAGATTAGATTAACATTGTAACATTGTAAGCAGATGACCTTTCATAGTGTTGGTGGGCATCATCCAACCAGTGAGGACATGAATAGAACAGAGAGACTGATCCTCCCCAAGTAAGAGATAATTTTCCAGGTGATGGCATTCAAACTGGATCATTAGTTCTTAAGGTTTTGAACTAAAATTCAGCTCTCCCTGGGTCTCTAGTACCCCCAGCCCAGTATCCAGTTTTGGGACTTACCAGCCTTAACAACTATGTGAACCTACTCCTTTAAAGCATGTATACGTATGTTTGTTCTATGGGGGAGCAGTTCTAAGGGGGGCAAGGACCATAGGTGTTGAGGACAGACTTGAGTCTGATTTCTGGTCTGACAGTAATGAAGTATGAGACCCAGGCAAGTCAGTTCCCCCCAGGTGTATAAACAATTAAAATAATACTTATCTTGCATGATTTTTGTGAGCATTAAAACACAGCAAAGAAAGAATGTCTGGGAAAATCTGTCCACTCTACCAAAGCCTGGGACTGGCTGGCTGGCAGCCAACACCTCACCATCACTTCCTGAGCTGGGGCAGGAGTGTTTTTGTACCAGAGGCACCTGGTCATGCAGGGCTGTGTCTTGGCTGCTGGCACAGAGATACACGGCTGAGTCTGTCAGCTCCAAGGAGCTCAGGTTCAGCTCCGAGCGAAAATCACTGAACTGTTTTCCTGAGAATCGATCTGGCATGTTTCCTTCTCCACTAACTTGTCCGCGGTAATACTGAACGAGGAACCGGGGGCCCTGGCCCAGGGCCTGCTGGTACCAGTTCACGGAGCGGTGTCCAGAGTCAGGGGAACATCTCAGCGTCACTTGCTGCTTTCTTGATTTGATCAGGTATTTGGGGGTCTGGGTGACTCCAGAATCCACCAGGCCTGTTGGGAAACAATCAGATGGAAGCTGAGGGCAGAGCACAGTGGAAGCCTCCTGCTGAAGCCCTCATCTCCGGGCTTCTATCTCAGGGAGACAAAGACATCTCAGAAGCTCCCACACTGTGTCCAGACTCACCTGCTCCCAGGAGGCAGAGAGTCACACCGCAGAGGAGCCTGGCGCCCATGGCAGCATCAGGAACCCAAGACTGCTGCTGGCTGGGGGCGGGGCTCCTGGGGTGAGTGGTGTAAGTGCTGACTCTCCCGCTTCCCTGATTGGACCATTGCCTATGACGTCATGCTCTGTGTCTCTGCAGGCTGTTTCCTGATCCCCTGGACCCCTTGGCAGGACCCAGGGCTGGCTCCTCTATACCACTCCCTGTCCTGCACAGCCCCTCGGCAAAGGGTGGGTGTGAAGCGTGCACTCGTCCCATGTCTCCATATGTCCACAATAGGACTTGTTCTCCTCTCTCTGCTCCTTCCTGACACTCATCACGGGGCCCTCACCAGCCGCCCGAACCCCTCACCCTCCACTTCTGCAGGGTCCCCCTGAGTACATGCTGAAGCTCCAGGGACGTCCGCACTCCCCTGGGAAGTGAGGAGTCTGCTCTGGTTCCTTGTGTCCTGGAAGCACTGTAAAGTGTGAAGTCGCTCAGCCGTGTCCAACTCTTTGTGACCCCCGTGGACTGTAGCCTACCAGGCTCCTCTGTCCATGGGATTCTCCAGGCAAGAGTACTGGAGTGGGCTGCCATTGCCTTCTCCAGAGGATCTTCCTGACCCAGGGATCGAACCTGGGTCTCCCGCATTGTAGGCAGACACCTTACCGCCTGAGCCACACTAGGGAAACTCAAACCTGCTCCCCGACGCAGGCACATAGTCCAGCTTCCCTTAAGCTCTCCTCTCTGGGGGCCTCTTCACCCCTCCCAGGCAGCCTGCTTACCACGGGCCTGCAGTGCCTCCTAGTGGCCAATGGTCCACAGTCTCGTGGATTTGTACTTAGGTCTAAAGCAAAAATAGAAATTCCCAACAACCCTCAGGACAACCCGTCCACACACACACACACACACACACACACTCACACTCCTGTTCTTATGCCTCCCCAGCCTGGCTGAATTAGGGTTAATCTTGAAATCCACTCAGCCTCTGGAGGTAAAAGACTGTATGAAGAGACACTTTGACTAAGAAAAAAAAAATTGCTCCACCATTGCTATCTTGGTAGTTTGCTAAGATGAAATAGTACAGGCCATAAAATAAACACTCTGATGGTCTCAAGTGAAACCATCCTGGAAACATGTATTCCATAGCTCCTTCTGATTAATCAGAACCATATATTTCCCGATTTTATGTTTAAATTAAGTATTGCCTAATTCTAGGTAGTGTACTTTACAAAGAGGTTTTACATATGTGAACCTATTTATTTCTATACTTATAAAATCTTGAAATAACTCTTCAGTCAGTAGAAGACCTACGAGGACTTCTCTCCAAAGAAGACATGCAGATGGCCAACAGGCACAAGAAAAGTTTGGCAACAACACTGATTATCACAGGAACACAAGTCAAAACTACAATGAGGAATCATATCACACTGATCATAACAAGCATCATCAAAAAGTGTACAAGTAATAAATGCTGGAGACACTGTGGAGAAAAAGGAACCCTCTTACACTGTTAGTGGGAATGAAAACTGATTAGGAGAAGAGTATGGAGGCCCTTTAAGAAACTGAAAATAGAGTTACTGTATGATCTTGCAATACCACTTGTAGGCATTAAATTAGACAAAACTATAATTCTATTTTAATTTTTTCCCAATTATTTTTATTACTTGGAGGCTAATTACTTTACAATATTTTAGTGGTTTTTGCCATACATTGACATGAATCAACTATGGATTTACATGTGTTCCCCATCCTGAACCCCCCTCCCACCTCCCTCCCCATCCCATCCCTCTGGGTCATCCCAGTGCACCAGGCCCGAGCACTTGTCTCATGCATCCAACCTGGGCTGGCGATCTGTTTCACACTTGATAACATACATGTTTAATGCTGTTCTCTCAGATCATCCCACTCTCGCCTTTTCCCATAGACTCCAAAAGTCTGTTCTATATATCTGTGTCTCTTTTTCTGTCTTGCATATAGGGTTATCATTACCATCTTTCTAAATTCCATATATATGCATTAGTATACTGTATTGGTGTTTTTCCTTCTGGCTTACTTCACTCTGTATAATGGGCTCCAGTTTCATCCATCACATTAGAACTGATTCAAATGAATTCTTTTTAATGGCTGAGTAATATTCCATTGTGTATATGTACCATGGCTTTCTTATCCATTCGTCTACTGATGGGCATCTAGGTTGCTTCCATGTCCTGGCTATGATAAACAGTGCTTCGATGAACATTGGGGTACATGTGTCTCTTTCAGATCTGGTTTCCTCAATGTGTATGCCCAGGAGTAGGATTGCTGGGTCATATGGCAGTTCTATTTCCAGTTTTTTAAGAAATCTCCACACTGTTTTCCATAGCGGCTGTACTAGTTTGCATTCCCACCAACAGTGTAAGAGGGTTCCCTTTCTTCACACCCTCTCCCGCATTTATTGCTTGTAGACTTTTGGATAGCAGCCATCCTGACTGATGTGTAATGGTACCTCATTGAGGTTTTGATTTGCATTTCTCTGATAATGAGTGATGTTGAGCATCTTTTCATGTGTTTGTTAGCCATCTGTATGTCTTCTTTGGAGAAATGTCTTTTTAGATCTTTGGCCCATTTTTTGATTGGGTCATTTATTTTTCTGGAATTGAGCTGCAGGAGTTGCTTGTATATTTTTGAGATTAATCCTTTGTCTGTTGCTTCTTTTGCTATTATTTTCTCCCATTCTGAAAGCTGTCCTTTCACCTTGCTTATAGTTTCCTTTGTTGTGCAAAAGCTTTTAAGTTTCATTAGGTCCCATTTGTTTATTTTTGCTTTTATTTCCAATATTCTGGGAGGTGGGTCATAGAGGATCTTGCTGTGATTTATGTCAGAGAGTCAAAACTATAATTCTAAAAGATACATGGACCTCAATGTTCTTCATGGCACTACTTATAATACTCAAGATATGGAAGCATCCTAAATATTCATCAACAGATGAATAGGTAGAGATATAGTATGTATGTATGTGTGTATATACATATATACATATATACACACACACACACACACAATGGAGTATTTCTCAGCCACAGAAAGAATGAAATAATGTTACTTTCAATAAAATGTTTGGACCTAGAGATTAACATACTTATGGAGTAAGGCAGAGAAAGACAAATATTGTATGATAGGGTGGAATATTTTTAAAAAGTAGGTAAAAACAAACTCATTTACAAAACAGAAATAGACCCACAGACATAGAAAACAAAGTTATGGTTACCAATGGGGAAAGGTGAAAGTGAAATTGCTAACTGGTCAGTCGTGTCTGACTCTGCGACCTCATGGACTGTAGCTCACCAGCCTTCTCTGTCCATGTGATTTCTCAGGCAAGAATATCGGGGTGGGTTGCCATTTCCTTCTCCAGGGGGTCATCCTTCTCCTTGGGTAGCCATCCTTCCCAACCCAAGGATGGAACCTGGGTTTCCTGCATTGCAGCAGCTTCGTTACCGCCTGAGCCATCAGGAGAAAGGTAGGGAGGGATCAATTAGGAGTTGGGGACTAACATATATACATTACAATATATAAAATAGATACTAGATAATCAGCAAGGACCTACTACATAGCACAGGGAATTATATTCAGTATTTTGTAACAGCTTGTAAGGAAAAAGATTCTGAAAACATATACATATGTATTTTTGTTGTTGCTTTTCAGTCACTAAATTGTGTCTTACTCTTTGCAACTCCACTGTAGCATCCCAGGTTCCCCTGTCTTCCACTATCTCCCAGAGTTTGCTCAGACTCATGTCCATTTAATCAGTGAAGCCATCCAACCATCTCATCCTCCGCCATCCCCTTCTCCTCCTGCCTTCAATCTTTCCCAGCATCAGGAATTTTTCTAATGAGTCAGCTCTTTGCATCAAAGTATTGGAGCTTTAGCTGAGGCATCAGTCCTTCCAATGAGTGTTCAGGGTGATTTGCTTTAGGAGTGACTGGTTTGATCTCCTTGCAGTCCAAGGAATTCTCAAGAGTCTTCCCCAACACCACAGTTTGAAAGCATCAATTCTTCAGTGCTCAGTCTGCTTTATGGTCCAACTCTCACATCCATGCATGACTATGGAGAAACCATAACTTTGACTAGACAGACCTTTATTGGCAAAGTGATGTCTCTGCTTTTTAATATGCTGTCTAGGTTTGTCATTGCTTTTCTTCCAAGGAGCAAGTGTCTTTTAATTTTGTGACTGCAGTCACCATCTGCAGTGATTTTGGAGCCCAAGAAAATGAAATCTGTTACTGCTTCCACGTTTTCTACTTCTATATGTGTATGTGTATATATGTATCACCAAATCACTGCACTGTACAGCTGAAACAAAGACAACAGTATAAATCAACTATACAGATAATACAAAGAAGAAATCGAAACAATCCCAACTCCAGCTTCTGAGATTGTCAGACTTAGGAGACTTAGAGAAACTGCAAGAGAGTGGCAACTTGGATTCACACCCACATTTAATTATAAGCCATAGTTTTGTAAAGAAACCATACTATGTTACTATAATCACTTCAAAGTATACTCACCAGGAGCTGTACTAACAAGTGTACTTTGATTAGAAGAGTGCTCAGTGTGGAATATTCTGATAGACTTAACACTGACATAGACATAGCCAGAAAAGAAAATGTTGAAATATCCACACAAATTGGAAGCCTGGGCTTGAATCCAGTTGTTCATACACTAGGATAAATGTCTAAATTGTCCTGGAGGAAGAAAAAAATTCCATGCAGCTCTGTATACAATATATCCATGCGTGCTCAGTCATGTCCAACTCTTTGCGACCCCATGGACTGTAGCCCACCAGGCCCCTCTATCCATGGAATTTTCCAG